CCCGTCATAAGTTTTGAACCTCGGCACGACGAACTTTCTTGGAACCTCCATCTCTCCGATCTCCCTGGTAAAGAGTGTTTGTATGACCTCGTCTTCGACCTCATCCTGGACAGCCTTACTCTTTCTCCTGGATTCTAACCGGGCTCTGAAATCAATTTTCTCCCCAACGGGATGTCTTCTGAAGTCCTTGAGTTCATCAATAGGCCCCCCATTTCCTGGGCACCGTGTGGATAGGGTTGAATCCTCCTCGGACTCATCTCCCTTCCTCCGTCTCGACAATCCTCATAGCAGGTCGTCTAGGGTTAAAGGTCTTGCCTTTCTGCAATGGTCGTTAAGAGGGTGCTCGTTAGCTCTCGGTCACTTTGGGGCCCTAGAGCTTTCTGCCTTGTTGTTTAGATGATTCCTTAGATCCTTCGTTTTTGCCTCCCGGGCAAGGAGCCCACGAGAAAGGAATGAGTCTCTCGAACCTTCGCCGGAGGCGGCGAATTCGTTGAGTCGGCTTAGGACGTTCACATTGTCCTTTTTCAACTGTCGTAATTGATCCCCAAACTTTTCTTCAATCACCTCCGCCTGTTGACGAGCCAAGGGGGCGGATCCACTTGACCTGATGCCCATACTGGTTTGAGGGGTAACCCCTCTTGACTGAATAGAGATATTTTTATTCCCATAAGTGTGGTCCCTCCCTCCATGGTGACATGAAGCTTGTAATTTGAGACTTCTTTGTTGGGGACCTTTCCCTTTTTGTCAAGTATTCACTATGGTCACTGTTCTTTATAGAGAAGAAACTAGGAAAACTAGTCGTTTCCCACATACGACGCCAAATTGTGCGGGCTAGATCTTGCACAATATAAATACGAGAACAGATCTCTCCCTTAGTGAACTCGAGTGAGTCAGTCGAGTGGTCAACCCTGCTACTTGGAACAGCCTGTGAGGTCCGGTGGTAACCTGGAACGGTAATGAGAGACCCTCGTGGATCAATGGAACGATCCAGTAAGGCTGAGGAAGGTTCCTGGAACAAAGAAAGACAAGTTAGAAGGGCGCCGGAATATTTTTCGGCGTATCCCCTCCAACGATCAAGCCAGTTTTTGAGAGAGAGAAAGAAGAAAACACTGAGTATAATTCGTAGTAAAGGTTTTTTGTTGCATACCATCTTGCCTTTTGCAAGAAGTATTTATACCTCAAATACTCATGATTGTTGTCAGTGTGGTCAGTAGGTGATAATTAGATACAGGCAACGTGCGCACTGATTCCTACGAGGAATGTCTTCTCTTTTAACTGCTCGGGATCCCGAGCAACCAAGGCTGCGTCATCGGCCTGCCGAATGTTCAATGAGCTCCTCTCGGCAAGGATGTAATAAATATCCAGCCTTGGAGACATTTATTACTTTTCACTTTCGAGCCTTACCGCATTGAATGTTGTCTTATCAAGGGAATGGTGTAATTAATGCTTGTTTTTCCCAGTCGTATGTCAACAAGTGCATCCAATTTTTCTGTCTCTGATTTGACACAATATGTCACGCATCCATTCCTCATTGACTGTGTCCCCTGCCTTCTTGAGCTTTATGACACCAATTCTGTAAGACGAGGTCATGATGGCTAACCTAGCCTAGCCTAGGCTAGTGACCTGTACATCAATAGCTCTGCAGGAGCAGAGAATGTCATCCTGGACGATACTCCTCGAAACCGAGAAGGGGGTACATCTCGGAGCCGAGAGTAGAGGTACATACAGGGACCGATGTACCATATCAGACCGAGAGATACGTGTCGGTACGTAGACGTACTGGATGCCACTTTTGATCCCTATGACAAGTACCTGGGGGGAGAGGGACTTGTGAACCGATGGGTACGTGATCTCAGTAACAAGGATTTTAGTGACACCGAGAACATGTGTTTTCATCTTGGAGTATTTCGAAAATGTCTCATCATTAAAGATACTATTTAAAACATAGCAAATCGAATGGAAAAAAATGCAGGTAGCTGTTCGTTTGTGCAACCAAGAAGAATGAAAAATTCATGTAGACTATCCGAACCCTAATTGTCTGTGCATAATCATAAAGTAGAAACAAAATAAATTAAAATAGCTCAAAATGTGTGGCCAGATATAAGCTCAATCGACCCTAAACCAGAAAAAGGGTGAGAGATGGCGAACCATAAAGTCCCAGCCGATCCACTTCCGCCGTTACAACTAAGTAACATCCACAAAGTCTTTCGGCGGGCTCGTTGTTGGGCTTCCTGGTACGACGCACTGGGTTGCTAGAATCTTAATTGAGACAATACCTTCTATCTTTCTTTCTCTCTAAATTCGATATGGAGGTAAGAAGTTAGGCACTCAACTAAATTGGTATGTTGGAGAGAGAAAGTGAGAATTGAGTTTGTTGTAGGGACTGGGCCAGAGATTCTTTGTTTCTTCTATGGTCTATTGCAGACTATAGACTTTCTAGAAGTGATAGATAGATTGAGAGAGAGAGAGAGAAAAATAAAGAAAGAATTATGGGAGGAATAGGGACTGGCTTTATGAAGGGAATATGAAACATGCAAATGGGATTGTTGAGGCTTTCATCCAATTGAAGCTGATGGCATAATGTGAGAGACCTTCGGTTTCTTCTTCAACGAACGTAAGAAGAGAAGGATTGGGTAATCGAAATACTCATCAGACGGAATCAAAATGGGCACCGTCTCTTGGTTGTTATGAACTTATGATCGATAAACTTGGCTTTATATCATTAGTTAAGGTTAAAGTCGAAAACTAAAAGTTTTTCTCATTTAAGTACTTTTATAGGTAGTATATGATTATTTTTGCAAGGCACAAACGTTTAACTCTCGAGTAATATTGTTATTATGAACTATAAAAACGGATTTAATTTGTTGACTTAATAATATTACCCGTATTGTAACTCTTAAATTTTTCATTGAGATTCCATCACTTTTTTTTTTGATAGTTAAAAAATGGCTGGAGGCAAAGGAAAGTGTTTAGAAACTACCTCGATAAACCCTCCTTAGTAAAATCATGAGGCTCCTGATCGCATCCATTACACAACTCAAGAACGAACCTAACTAGGGTAGTATAACAGTAAACCACCGAGCACCAATGAAAACTCCAAGATTGGAACCTCTAACCTTAGGGGAGAAGTTCGGTTGTATCCCACTGGACCACTCCTAGACATTATTATATCAATAAATTAAATTAATTTTTTAAATCTCAATAGCATTACAATTACCTTTATTGATTGATTCTATTGATGTAAATAGGTATGCCAATTTTAAGGAAATGTATCTCCAGTTGTTTGGTTATCAGTAGTAGTCATCAGCGCTGATCATGAAACTTAGGAATTCAATCAATTATTTCAACAAAAAGGATAGGAAACTTCTTGTCAAGATTTTCATGTACCGCAGGAATTGAGAGACATAAGCAGTAGGTAAACTTCTTGTCACTTTGAAATATCTAATTTTTTAACTTAAATATATCATATGTCGATTATATGGATAAATACTTACAATTGATCCAAATTCGAGCGTAAGTAAATAATCGATCACAAAAAAAATGATGTCTACCATAGTTTATACAAATAATTATTGTTCTGTACTGTAATTTTTACCCAAAACACAATTAAATAAATAGGTCAACATAAAAATCATGCGGGGAACATTTCCATGAAACCTCCATCGAGAAACAAGTTGCCACTTTTCAATCAATCAAACTAGCTCCGGCTAAAGATTTTATAAATTAATGTTCCACTTTGAAAAGTAGAATTGATTTTAGAGTGGATTGAGTGCAGTGGAATTCGTGTTGCTACAGTGTGTTCTAAAGACTTTCCTTTCTTCTTTGGAATGATTGACAAGTGGAAGATTGTTTCTCGTTGGTGGTTTCTTTCATGGAAATGTTCATGATTTTTATGTTTACCAATTTATTTGTGTTTTGGGTAAAAACAATAATACAGAATAATAATTTTTTTATGCAAATTATGGTATGCATTATTTTTTGTGATCAAGCATTTATTTATTCTTAAATTTGCATCAATTATAAGTACTCATCTATGTAATCGACACAGTTTAAACATTTTATAAATTAATGTTCCACATTCAAAAATAGAATTGATTTTACAGTTGAAATCGCAGTAGATCTTCAGATAAATTACACTCACATTCCTTAACATTTGGTCTTATTGTAAGAATATCTTCCCACATTTTAAAAATTACACTAAGACCCTTTGACTTTTGAAACTTATATCAATCAAACTCCCTCCAACTAACAACATTGGAATGATTCACGTCACAAACAACATTGGAATGATTCACGTCACAGCTGATGTCATCGATATTAATTCCTAAAATATCAAAAATGCCCTCCAAATATATATTCTTATCCCCCAAAATTTCATTTCATCTCTCATTTATTAAAATTTTTTCAATTAAATGTTATATTTCACATTTAAACTAAAATTAAATGTTGAATTAATCACCCTAAAATTAAATGTTGAATTAATCACCCATCGCCGCCTCCACACCAAAAACCACCACCATACTTCCCTAAAAATCACCACCACCACCTCCTCCTCCTCTCTCTCTCTCTCTCTCTTGCACAGAGCACCACCACTGGTAACGGAGTAACCCTATCACCGGTCCACCACCTCCACAACCACACAACACACACACAACCACCACAGTCCAGCAACCCCACCACATTCTAGTCCAACACCTTCATTTTCACCTCCTCAACGACACAACACGCAACCCAACAAGACTGTTAACTCCGTCTTTGATCAATTTTACCAGTAAGCATGTGGTTTTGTAAATTGAAACGTCTTAGTCAAAACAGGTTCCGCAATCTCCACTTTTTCTGCTGCAAAATCTACATACACTTCTCTTACTCACTTTCCCTTTTGAAAGATACCTTACAAATCTAATTCCAAAAGCATTCAGAAACACAGAAATTGAGTAGAATGTACCGAGCTAGTTCCACAGTAATGGTGGTTCTTCTTCTTTATTCTGGTTCTTGTTTAGGATTTTCCTACCAAGTTCCGTTTGGGAGCCTTTTGGGGCCATTTCTAGATGGGGGACAAAAAGGAGAGACTACCAAGAAACAGCAACAGCAACAACAACATCTATCATCTTCTTCTGATGACCCAGTTCTGGAATCAACAGAAAATATGCAACAGCCGCAGTCGCACCACCAGTCACTGCCGGTGGCGGTGGTGGTTTTCCGGAGCCCTGTTTATCTCTGCTCCCTTGTACATCCCTAGTGGTGCAAGTTTAGGGTCCGCCGCTCCAAAAACAACAGTTTGAAGGTGTTAATCCAAAAAGACCAAGATACGCTAGCGGTCAATGGAAGCTCATACCCTCTTTTTTTTTATTTTTAGCTCATAACCTCTTCATCTCAACAACAGCAGACCCAGATCTACGCATCGAATCCTTTCAATTTCTCATATTTGGATGGGGTAGCTATGGAGGGTATTGCAGTGGTGGGGGAGGGTTTAGCAATTTTCACTGGTTCTTCTATATATATATATATATATATATATATATATATATATATATATATATATATTTTAAGATTAGCAATTTTAGTTGTCTCTATAAAGGGTCACAATAAACAAGGGTCACAATACAACAAGACAATAAACAAGGGTCACTACCCCAGAAATAAAGCTTGGGGGCTCATATACAAATGTTTTGTTTTTCCAACTTCTAAAAGAGGAAATAGAGTTGAGTCTTGCCGATATTTAAGAAAGTTTACTTACATATTTTTTCGCCTTAAAAATATTATATCATTCATTTTTATTACATGCTCAATTATTTAATATTTAATTAATTTATAGTTAAATATAATTTTTATTTTAAATATTATTCATCTACAATAGTATACATATGTTAAAATTTTTTATCAAATTACATATTTTAAAAAATTATTATTTAATATAATAAAATATATTTTTTTAGACGCTCAAGTTTATATTTCATCAAAAATTCGGACACGGGATATTGAGCAGTATATATACAAGTTTGATTTGGTGCAAGACAAAATGCATATATACTAGCTTCTTGTATTTGCTCTCTCTCTCCGAATAGAGCCAACAGAAAAAATGGCATACAAAGCTGCTTCTTCACCTACATTCATCATCATATGCTGCTTTTTCATGATTTCACTCATTATTCTCCAACTAATGATGTCTGCGAGAGCAACAGGCCCAGTCACCGTTATGCAGGTAGATGCATGTAGACCCTCTCTCTCTCTCTCTTCTCTCTCTCTCTCTCTCTCTCTCTCTCTTACTTCCCGTTTTATTGTTCTCGCCGGTTTGCGTGTAGGAGGAAACTGTTCACCTGAAGGCCCCTCATTTACGTGGCATGGATCCGCCTGGTGTCGAAGAAAACGGAATATTGAAAAAAGATGGCATCCGTCCGTAAGTTGGAAAAGAAGAAAAAAAGGCCTTAAAGTTGGGGTTCTAATTCTACGTGTTCGAAGCGAGAAAAGACGAAGGTTATGTTCTGTTTAATTAAGTCAATAAATTATATTTAAATAATATTACTTTTCTAAAAATTAGTGTTCTCAAAAGAAATAATTTCATCACTATTTTGTAAGCGTTTGCCGGCTGGAGAATTCACCGAGAGTTGGACTCTTTTGGAATGACAAAGGGCTCTTCTACTGGAGAGTTCACGAGTCTTTTTTGTGAGAGGAGAGAGACAAGAAAAAAATTGGTAAGGAATAATGGTTTTAAGGGGAAAACCATAATAGTCCGTCCCGTAAAATGGATGAAAAAAATTGAAGAAAAGAAAATGAGACTAATGAACTTTCTATCAGTAGAATCATTTCTTCCTTTGTGTTTGATAAAGAGTGTAGAAAGTAGAAATGATTGATTTGTTTGAGATTGACAATGTCAAAAAAATATTTTTTTATTTTTTTATTTTTTAAAAATTTAATTTTTTTTTACTTTTTTATTTTGTATTTAAAAAAAAAGATAAAATATATTTTACTATATATTCTATGTATGAAATTAATGTATCAATAATATGTAATTGATAAATATGATATATATATATATCATATTATATATATCAAAGAATATATAGATAAATAACATACATTTCAATACACATAATTAACTTTTCATCCATCTTTATTTCCAATTTTGGAGTGATTGATTCATTTATCTTAACGTTTTTTCTATTTTCTTTCCTTACAAAACATGATATTTTATTTATCCTTTAAACTTCTATCTTTCCTTAGACTAAAAATAAAAAAATTATTTTTTCATTGTACCAAACAAAAAAAAGAAAATACCAAAAAAAAAAAAAAAAAAGAAGAAGAAGATTAAAAAACATGAACCATATCAAATTATAGAATAGTGACAGTAAAATATTTTTGACACTAAATAAAAATTTTAATGGTGACCAAAAATATTACCTTCGAATTGTATTTACCGACAAGAATAAATAATGGTCACGTTTTTTTTTCCAAATTTTTAAAGAGGAAAGAGAATCGAGTCTTGCCCTTACATATATATAGTTTATTTGGCGCAAGACCAAGGATGCCTCAGCAATATTTGGAGTCTAAAGCAATTACAGCAAATGAGACTTTTTTATTTTCGTAATAATAATTTAA